GGTAGACTAAAGCTATAGGGTGAAAATAGATGCCATCTCCCTGACACCTACCCTGATTCAACATGAGGGATCTTGATGGTTATGGGCTCCTGCTCTACACAAATGAGCCACTGAATCATGGACAACACAATGGTTCACAGTGAAGAGCTCTGATCTGAAATGCCAAGTGTGAAGAACAAGGCTCAAAGCACACCCCCTGTAGGCACCTTGGCCTGGGTGTTGCTGGAGGGTTTTAGACTAAAGACAAAGGGGTGCACTGAGAGGAGAAAACTCAGAGATTCACACCTTTAAATAGTGTTGTCTCCATACTAGGTGATGTGTGTCCATGTCAAGTACGCTTGAGCTCATACTGATGTTTCTTGAGGTTTGCCATCCTTCGAATCATGAAAATACCAAGAAAATTTGTTGAGCACAAGTCTTTCAAATTTTATCAAAAGTGAATCCACTCTTCATTAGAGCAAAATGTAAACGTATGATCACATTTAATGAAAATAGGGAATAGTTGACTAAGTTCTGAGCGCATTAAGAGTTCTGATTTTTAGCACTGCAAAATGTCAGTTTTTTAATCTTAATAAAGACAAAGGACATAATTAGTAAACCTCATTTTAGGGAGTAGATTTTGACCTTGCATAGTGGCTAAAATGAAATGATTCTTTGGTCCTCATATTTGTGCTGTAAGTAGAGAAGGCTAATTCCACTCTCTCCTGAGACATACTCTATTGGTGAAATTATTATGGCCACTCCACGTAGTTAAAAGGAAGGTTTATTTTGTGGGGTAACTTACAAGTGAAGGGATAGTTTACAGGGTCTGGGAAAGGTGTAGCGCAGTCCGGCAGTGTTCTCTGGAGAACTCTGCTCATTCTACCACCAGCGTCCAGGGTCCAGGAACCAAGGGAGCCCGTGCATCCAGATCTCAGGTATTCAGCGTCCTCTCTCAGCCCCGCCTTGTAGGCGTGACCATTACCGAAGCCTCAATGGGGGTTGGAACTTCCAGGTCAAAGCTGGAATGGCTACCCACTACAATACTCTCCTCTAGTCTGTGAGATAGCAACTCTCTGTCTCAGAGATCTCTAGATATATGCAAATGCTATTTTGGAAGAAGAATTACAGTATGATCCACTCATGTGAGAATCCATTTAGGGGCATCCTTTCACACTTGGAGTGATTAATCTTAAAGTCCTTACTAAGGCTACAAGGCCATCTGTAGTCTGGGATTGACTTCCGTCTTACACTCTACACTTCTGTTACATACCAGGCTGTTGATCATATCTTCACCATGCCAAGAAGTTCCAGTTCCAAGATCTTTGCCACTGTTCCTGGAACGTAGAAACAATTCCAGCCTGGTTCTTTCACTTCACTCCATCTCAAATGTTTCTCTTCATATGTGCCCTTTGGAAGAAAGCAATTCCTCTTTTTCCTTAAGTTGTTTTATTTTCTTCGTATTCACCACTACTTAATACTGTGTCATATTTTATCAGTATATATATCTGAGATACAAACATGCCATTTTACAGTGTATAAAAGTCCAACTATCAGAATCTAGCTGATAATAACCAAATATTTACATGCAATCCGTCTGAAATCCATGTGTCTTAAGAAGGTGATGTATTCTGTATTCTATTCCACTGTATTCAGTTCACAAGTTAAGAGATTAGGTATTGTCAGACACTTTTCTTTTTGTGCAAGTATAATGATTCACTATATTTCACACTGAGCTTTTGGACATGCATAATCCAATTATGAGACATCTCCAAATATTAAAGAGCAGGGATATGGACCTAAGGAATGAATCACGAAATTACAAGGTATAAAGTGCAGTAAGCAGGACCCAGCTTCAGCCACACAATTCGTGGGTGAGGAGAGTGGAAGTAGAAGCTACTTGACAGGTCAGCCCGAAGAAATCATGGCAGTCCTACCATCAGGCCAACTCCTCAGCTTCACCAGCCTCACACTCAGTCACTGGTATTGATGAAAAAGTGACTCTTCTGGTGCATGGCTTAGAGGCCAAGAGAGGACAATAGCCTTGTGCTGTCTTCATTGTTGACACTTGAGCTACCCAGAAGCTTGACATCAGGGAGCACTCACATGTCAGAGAGCCTCACAGTGTCCGATATGAGAAACCAGAAAGAAGCTGCTGGAATACTTCACCCACTCCACATGGATTCCTGTTTTGTTGTATGTTTGTTTGTTTTAACTACACAAAATTTTTACTTTATTTTATTTTAAATTAAAAAAAAACATCATGGTAGTACCATACTTATATTAGCACACTTGAAATCAATGCGGTGTGATGATGCTATATTTTAAATTTTTTAATGTTTTTATTCATTCCCTTTTAACACATTCATCTCACTTTTGTTTGTGCATTTTCCCCATTTAAGGAGGCAATATATTTTTTTCTCATTTCTTTCCTTTCTTTCCTTCCCTCCCTCCCTCCCTCCCTCCCTCCCTCCCTCCCTTCCTCCCTCCCTCCCTCCTTCCTTCCTTCTTTCCTTTTTCTGTGTCTGAGGCATTTTATTCAAGAACAAAATGACGAGTGATAGGCTCACAATCAACATCATTACTGAACTTTATCCCCCCCCCTCCCGCCCCTTTTGGGGTTTCTGATCCCTCCTCAGTAAATGAACTTAACCCCAAAGCTGTGATTCTCTCCAGGTTCTCTTCGTCCACCTCCTTTCCCTTGCCTCACCTCATGCTGGGGCAGGGCTGGTGCCTCAGTGTGAAGGGAGAGCCTAGAGCAGTGACAGGAGCAGAGGAAAAGGCCCCACCCTCAGGAAAAGCCACCAAAGCAAAGAGTAGAGAGTGGTGGAGTGGAGGATCCCATAGACTAGGGCACTAAGATGGGGCCCTGGGGACAGAAGAAAGGATACAGGTCCGCCCCCCCCAACTCCCCAACCCCCCCCCCCCCCCCCCCCCCCCCCCCACGCCGTCCCCCTGGAAAGGAGTCCCTGTAGCCTCATACTCCTCTCATTGGGAACAGGCAATGTTTAATCCTTTGCTCTTCTGGCACCGGTTTCAGGATATAGAGTCACACTCAGACTACATCCTCCTCCAGCCCAAGCTGCTCTGCCATGTAGCTGATCTGCCGCAGGTTGGGCTATTTCGGGCATTGCAGAAACAAGTTCTCCAGGTCCCCCTTCAAAAGGTTCTCAATGTTCCAACTGCTTTCTCCTGGGGGCCTGCCCCAGGGTCTCTGCTTTGCCTGTTTCCTGAAGGTTTCCATTGTTGGCTTTCTCCACCCACTTCTCCAGGGAGGCTCTAGGTGGGCCTGGAATCAGGCCAGGGATTGGACCAGGCTCAGGGGTGTTGGGGATCTCCTCATCCTCTGCCACATGAGTTCTGTGGAGGTATGGGATAGTATGGACCTCAGGTTGGACTGGGCCTAGTGCCCCAGTTGGCCTGGAGACTTCGCAGCTGGAGGGCCACCAGGAGCCTAGTGGAGAGCAACTCAGAGGGGGCCTCCCCTGGGCCTTATACTGTCTGCCCACCATTGCGAAGTTGGAGAAGGTAGAACCAAGTCCCAAGGAGTGCCAGGGCAGGAAAAGCCTGCAGAAGGAACTAGATCAGTTTTCTAAGCTGCTGAAGCAGAAAAGGATTACCTAGGGGGTACACCCAGGCCGACCTGGGGCTTACCCTGGGCATTCTCTTTGGAAAGGTTTTCAGGCATACAACCATCTGCCACTTTCAGGGTCTGCTGCTCAGAGAAATACTACATTTTTTCTCTTACATGAACTCAAATTTAGAGAGAGAGAGGGAGAGAGAGAGAGAGAGAGAGAGAGAGAGAGAGAGAGAGAGAGAGAAATTATTGCAAATGCATTAGTTCACAAAACTGGAAAGGAGATCTTGAGAGAGAAGTAAGAGATCATAAGAAGGTTGGGAATTCATGGCATTAAGGAATTGAGGAATATAATGTAATATAAGAGCAGATGTTTGGACTAACTAGGGAAAAGGGAAGGACAATGGGTGAAAACAGTCTCTGAAAGGTAATGAATGAAAAAAATTATATGACACATATGTATCAAGATTCCATGGCAAAATCCATTGCTTTTCATGTTAATCTAAAAAAGTGATAAAGAAAACCTACTTTGATGAATTAAAAATATGTGTTTAATGATTTGGATGATCACAACGTGCAATGTTCACAACATGGAGTGCTTTCAGTAATATTAGGTTTGGGTACGGCCCTTGGGGAAGATTCATTATACAAAACATTAATAGCAACAGAGGCTTCAACATGGTATCCGATGCCTTTTTTTTGGCAATGGTTCTTCTATATTCTGCTTTAGAAAAACTATTGCTACAATTTAATTTAAATATCTTGATTAGAGTTCTGAAACACGAGTTTATCCTTTTTTTTAAGTTAAAAGTTTAAAAGACCCTTTCTGTGATGAGTAGGCAGAAAAAAATAAGTCCTTTATGTATGTAAAGTAACAACACTGTAAAATTCAGCAGATAAAAAAAGCACCTAGCATTGTGGTTGATATATTGTGCACCCCAATAAACTTATCTGGGGGTCAGAGAACAGAACAGTCACAATATTAAACATAGAGGTTAGGCAGTAGTAGCACACGCCTTTAATCCCAGCATTCCAGAGGCAGAGATCCCTCTGGATCTTTGTGAGTTCAAAGCCACACTAGAAACAGCCAGGCATGGTGACACATGCCTTTAATCCCAGGAATTGATGGCAGGGAGCAAAAAGGTTTGTAAGGCGTGAGGACCAGGAACTAGGGGCAGGTTAAGCTTTTAGGCTTTTGAGCAGCAGTTCAGCTGAGATCCATTTGGATGAGGACACAGAGGCTTCCAGTTTGAGGAAACAAGATCAGCTGAGGAATTAGAGAGGTGAGGTTAGCTGTGGCTTGTTCTGCTTCTCTGATTTTTCAGCGATCACCCCAATACCTGGTTCCAGGTTTGTTTTTATTAATAAGACCTTTTAAGATTCATGTTACATAGCATGATCATATATTTGAGTAGAAAAACTGTTTTCTCAAATTGTTCTCTAGCAAATGTAGAGTTCCATGGAAACCTCTTCAATCAACCCTTGGATGATGGAGCATCTAAGGACGTGTACCCAGAGTCCTCTCTTCTCCTGAGCACAGACATGTAATCCAGTACACAAATGGGCTTTCATATTCCACAGGACTGATTCCCTTTTACATACTGAACATAATGATTTGCTTTTTTATTTTACATAATTTTTTATGTTTTTTTGAAAAAGAACATTAAATTGCAAAAAAGATTATAAACTGCTTATGTAAGGGGAAAAAAACCTTAAAAGCAAGCTGGAATTTCATCTGTAAGGCTTAAGTACCTCTCTCAGTTTATGATGCAATGGCAGTCTTAAAAGTTTTATGAATAAGTAGCACACTGAATCACAACATGAACCTGACATCCTGTCTGCATAACATCTTCTAGGTTAAGCCTTAGTAATTACCATTTTATATTCCATGCTTAGGTGCCCAAGTAAAACAACCACACTGAATGACATATACAAGTGCAGCAAATCTTTGTAAATTTGTAGTTTTGGGAACCAGATAAAAAGAAAGAGTAAGCCAGAATAAGGAAAATTTTAAATGCAGCCAGAGATTGCCTGGAATCTAATTAGGGATGCCTTCCAGCTGTTGTTACTACCTGGAACCTCTTCTTCTGGGTCCATCCTCTAAAACATACTGTGGGGAAAGAAGCAAAAATAGAGAGGTGAGAGAGAGGGAGGAGGAGAAGTAGAGGGAGAGACAAGTTGAACAAGGTAGAAAAGGCTAATTATCAGATATTGATTTATGATTTATTTAGTGATTTACTTAAAGCACTGCTTGTACTGCCTGTTTGCCAAGCATGACTTCACTTTTTACTTCAATCAGAATGACCCAGGGAAATAACTGAAATGATGGGTTATTGTCCTTAACAATCTGCTGACTGCCTGGTAGGCTTCTGTAAAACCTTTCCCAACCCACCTTGTGTTTTAGAGTATGTAAGTAGAACATAAACTGGACCCTGCATTTAAGCCTTTCAGGAGCTGTCGTGGCTTTTTCTCTCCCAATGACATTTCCTCCCTTCCACTCTCAGTGGTGTGAGGGTGCTTGTGCAGAAAAATGCTCAAGTAGGACCACCCACTGTACTGAGTGCTTCTGTGTTTAAAGCATTACTTTATAAAAAAAATCTAGTCGAGTAGGCAAGAGAGATATAGAAACAAATCTCAGTGTTCAAAAACTTATGTGCATTCTAGCAACACAAGGTGTCATCAACAGTATCTTCAATATACTAGTGACGGTATATGACTTCATGTTTATCTGTATGTAGAAGATTAATATATTTATTTGCAATATGTTCCCTTAAACAGACAAGATGATGATTAAAAAACAAGTTCTCACATTCCATGCCTTGATGCAGACTAGACCCTACGTCATGGATCTGTTGCTTTTCTCTGTGTCTATGAACTTGCCTATTTCAATCTTAGGTGTCATTTTTATGTACAACTGTGCACATAGCCAAGTTAAGGCACAGAGGATGGGAAAGGATGATGACAGTGGCTTGCATTTTCAAGGTTAAGTAAAATTTCCAACAGTTTCATTATTGTGGTTCAGATGAACTCCTCCTGTTCACTTAATCATTGGATTTCCACTAGCTTGTCTTTCCATCTTGAAAACATCTTCCTTTTGAGCCTCTGACCTCTCTAATTACCATAGTATTCTCTTTTTCCTTTGCTTTAGGCTAAAACCCTCACCTAACTTACAATGCTCTCCTTTTCTACTCCATCAGCAGTTTTAAACAACTTTCAAGAATCAAAGTATTTGTTTAAGGAGTGTGTGGTGGTGGTGGTGATGGAGGGTGGTGGTACTGGGTGGTTAAATGATCTTTTGTTTTGCCAATTTAAAACACAGTAAAAATTTAATTATGATTGGAGCTCTGAGGAGAACATTTCTTTTTCAGGCAAACATTGTGAAATTAAGTGATATGTCACCAGTTGCTGTGGGGTTTGTGCTAGTTGGCTCACATGGAACATAACCACATCATCCAATGGTAGACTGTGGGGAAATAATTTCTGTTCACACTCGGTTCAGTGTTCTCTCCCATTAACAGCCCAGCCTCTAACTACGCATGCCATTTCCTTTCAAAAACCGTCTATTGAATGTTTCAAATGTGCAGACTCTTAAGTTGGTGACTCAAATCCCCAGTACTGAATCATCTAGCCAAATATGAGTCAGAGCAATAGATCCTTTGCAGACATGTAGCTAACTGAACTTAAGGGAAATATGTAAACTTGTGAACAACTTCTTAGTTATTATGAGATATGGGAGTAAGAGAGAAAAAGCACAAGGCTGGTTTCCTGTCTTATCTTTCCTGAACTTAAACATCTATTCGGATGACCTCAGTCCTACCATCATTTTCCTTAAAAGGATCACAGTGACCATGTGTGGCATTTAAACAAAGATTTTACAGACAGCTGCTGTATCTTACTTTATGCTAATTTGCTGTGGATTTTTTTAAAGGCTATTTGGCAATGCCAGCCAACATGAGATTAACCATCTCATCAGAATGTGTTTATTTGGCAGTGTATTATCAAAGGAATTCTTTTCCTGAAATGAAATGAACATATAAAGCCAAAGGGCATAGTTTAAAGTTATTCCCCTCCTCATATTATGGTTCATGTCTATTTGGGTTAATGTTATTATGATCCACCAACCACCAAGCAGAACTTTTTCTCAAAGTTTTAGTTGCTTTTTTTTTTATTGCAAAGTTCTGATGACCACTCATCCAGTAGCATTCCTTCCATCACTAATTGTTTCTGATTCCTTCCCATTCTTAACTATGTTGGTGGATTTTTTTCAGTGTTTTAGTTTGCATTCAGCAGCTCTCTTTTCGTTGCCAGCAGTGCAGTTTTACAGGACTGATAAGGAGCTAGGAAACAGTGATGAGGCAAGAGGGAGATGTTAAAAATGAATGAGGTGCTGGTACAACAAGTCATAAATAGGCATGTCACAGAACAGACATCAAGGAGGTCACATGTCACATGGTCGTTCTCTGTATCTGTTTCTCCCATACTGATCTAGAGTTTGTTACCTTGTGCTCTTCTCTAAGTGGCTATTGATATGGTATTGGATAACAATTTGAAGAACTGGGTATTTTGACGTCTGAGAAACTATACATCCCAGAAGTAGCTGTCTTGTTATTGTTTTTTACATACTCCTTGTGTCTGAGACTGGAGGCTAAGTGGTTCGTGCCTACATCCATTGAAGCATTACAATCATAAGATTATGTGGTGGTTTGAAAGAAAATGGCCTCCAAAGGGAATGGCACTATTAGGAGGTGTGGCTTTGTTGGAGTGGGTGTGGCCTTCTTGAAGGAAGGGTATCACTGTGGAGGTGGGCTTTGAGGTCTCACATATGCTCAAGCCACGCCCACTATCTCAGTTTACTTCTTGTTGCCTGCAAGATGTAGAACTCTCAGCTCCTTCTCCCGTGCTGCCATGTCCTGCCGTGATGATGAATGACTAAACCTCTAAACAGTAAGCCACTAAATTAAATGTTTTCCTTTATGAGAGTTTCTGTGGCCATGGTGTCTCATCATAGCAATAGAAATCCTAAGACAGATTATCACCTCCACCCATTGCTTTTCTACTCTCTAACTACCTGGGGGTATAAGCAGATGGCAAGCTCTGATTCTGCCACCCTCCTCCTCCCCCACTGCAGGATTTTTCCTCCAAATAAAAGCCTGTGCTGTCTTAAGAAAAATAAAAATAGAAAAGTTTGCCTTATCATATGAAAAATTTGGTGAGAATTCCTGGAATGCAAATTATACATGGCTCTTAAAAGCTTAGGACTAGGAGCAGAGCAGAGTATCAACATTCAAAAAAACCAACAGACAAGGCTGTGTTCATACATGCATTTAACATCTAATTTTTGCCAGATAGGACTGAGGAGTGTGCATGAGTGATGGCTAGTCACAGATAATCAGCAGACTTCTTTCTTTGGAAGAGTTTGCTATTTCTCACCAAAGAAACTTTTGCCGCCTAGCTACCTAGAAGGGAAAATTGACCATTTCCTCTTCTTCAGCTCCCTTCCCAGCATGTGGATCCAAGCTCCCCTCTAGGAGTTTGTGTAGATTTTAGATGAGGCTTTGTGTTGCTGTTACCGGAACAAACACTAATGATTCATGTTTTTGTGCATGTGATAATTTTGTACTTGTTCTTAAGTGTATCTTCTCATGAATGAAACAAATTGAAAATGGTTTAACTATAAAATGCTATACCTAACACAAATATGGAAAAATATTGTCATTGAACTACCTCATCTTTAATAGTTAATAGTTTAACATGTAATTCTGGCATATACATTAAAATGAAAGTCATACTTTGTACAAAACAACAACAACAATAACATGTACCAAAAACATTAATAAAATACATGGTATCTTTCTTCTGATGTTGAAGGGTTGTTATTTACATTTTCTAACTTTGATGCCTATTTCTGGAGAATGACTATGGCTCAACATGTTATTCATTTGTAACAAATAACTTGATAACTTATCTTCCCTGATATGTTTTTTTTTTTAAAAAAAAAAGAAAAGAAAGAAATAAAGAAAACCAGAGTCTTTCAAACCATGACCCAGGAGCCCTGAAAGTCTGGGTGGAAGGGTTCTGAATCTGCCTTAGAAGGCAGTGGTTGGTATCTGGGAACCTTCCAGGTACCCTGCTGTCATGTCTGATGTATTGGACTTTTCTGTCAAAGATGGCATTTGAATGAGAAGTTCCCCAGTGAGAGTTTGTAAATCACACAGCAAGTTTCAAGTCCGACAAGGAAATGAGTCAGTCTACCCACGGCAGACAACATGTGCAAACCTGCAGAGTCCTGTAGTTCAGAACTGCAGTGGGAGTGATGAGAGGAGACTACCGTGTAGTCCCACGTGGACAGGGGATGCCAACATAACGGGCCAGGAGCAGGTGGGGGTCTGAGAAGGCTTCCAGAACCTGAGTGGTAAAATTCCACAGAATAAGACAACCGTCCCAGTTTCACACTAAAGAGCAGGAGAGGGGAATGAGAGTGAGTATCCGTATATGATACATTTCAACACAAATGTCATGGAGTGCATCACTCTGTAACCAATGGAAAGTTTTAAACATAAGAGAGAGAGATCTTTCTTGAGAGAGGGAGGGAGAGAGAGTGTGTATGTGAGAGAGATTTGATATGATAAAGGATTCCTTAGACCTCACTTCACTTAAGAAAGACTGAGCTTTCTTTGTATCAGAAAGAGACTTTTATATCACTTATTTTTAATAGGGAACGGATGTTCGGGCTTACATGTTAGATTGGACAGAGTGTATGTTTTAATTTCAAAGTTGGGTGTGGTAACTAAGAAGAATGTATTGTAAGAAATATTTGTCTCTACAGACTTGTTTTACTGTTGGCACAGCTGTTTATTCTTTGGCCCAGAAAGCAACTGCAGAAGACAGCAGGGTTACTTCCCAGGCTGGCTCATAGGCTGCTCAGCAAGTGATGTGTCTTGGAGAACAAAGAAGAGATCACCATGTGGAAAAGATTTCTCCTTTTTTTTAAAGACTATTTTCTAAAAATGAATGCAAAATGGCACAATTTTAGGCGTTTCAAAATTAAGAAACAAAGGGTGTGCCTCAATTAAAACAAAACCCAGTGCTCTCAGAAATGAATCCCTAAAATATTATAACTCTAAAAATTCATATGTGGAACCAGCCTACTCAGTCTTTTGCTGTGATAAAAGAAGACATGTGTGTGTTTGTGTATGTGTGGACATTTGACATTTAATGTGATTAATGATCTGAAACCATAGTGCTTTCATTCCCATGGTATTTTATTTTGCTCACTGATATAACCAAATGCCCGACAGAAGAACTTGAAGGGAAGGTTTCTTTTGACCTTTCCAGGAAGACATGGTCGTGGGGTGGCTTGGTCCATGGTGGCAGCAATGTTCATATTTTTGTGGGTCAGTAATCAGGGAGAAGCTAGCATACCTCATAATGGACCTCTGCTGATGACTCACCTCCACCTGCCAGGCCCCACAGCCTCCCATACAGTCCCACTGGTTGAAGAGAGAACATTCAGACAAATGACCCAATGAGGGACAACTCACATTCAAACCTACATACATGGAGTCTTCTTGTTGATTTCCTTTCCTCACCAAGCATTTGAGTGACTGGATATGCTGATGTGTAGGATCTGTGTCTGTGTTCAGGATTTGGAAGAATGATGGGGACTGGCGAATTCACTCAGTTAGTGCTAACCTGGTCAGCCATGGAAGCATCTCTTGGTCATAGTCACCAGTGCGGCTGTGTCTTCTTTTAAAATATTACTGAGTGTCCATGTCAGAACTTGATGCAGATATTCTGCTCCATCTGTTATGCTTAATTAAAAAATATGTATAAGACTGTAACCTCTAAAACTATAAAACCCAAAGGACCAGGAAAAGGCAAGGGGAAAACAAACATTATTTATTGTAGGCTTTAAAGACAAAAGCACAATTTTCAGCAATTCCTTTGTGAGCAGTTCTAACTGCTGCTTGAACAACATTGATTCAGTAAAATGGTTTTTTTTTTTTTTTGTTGTTGTTGGTTTGGTCATAATCTCTGGCTTTGAAGCTCTTTGCTCCTGTTGGATGGCCATGCCTGCTGGATCTGCTCCTCAATCAATCAGAACTCACCTATTCCCTAATGTCTACCCACCATTATCTCTTGCACAGGGCACAGTAAAGGGATTCTTAGCAGGTCTTCCTTGTGTAAACCTTACCTCTAAATTTATCCTCAGTGCAGCTACTGAAGTAATTCCATAAACCTACCTGAGATCACAACACTCCTAAGACCCCAAACTTCCAGTGGACCCTGCTTACTCGGAGGGAGAGTCCTTGCCTTCAGGAGCTGGCTTCTGGGACTCTGCCATTCCATTTCTTTTCTTCTCTTGCCCTGACTGGTCCAGTTTCACTAGGATCACTTCTGGGTGGTACGCGAGCACACCAGAGGTACTACTCTCCCAAGGACTATGCATTTTCTGTTCTTTCTTGGAGCAGGTGGATACAAGTTTATCCCTTATTCCATGGTCTCTGTAGCATTGCTGGTCCACAGTTTCTGTCTTGAACTCTCCTTCCTGCCTTCTCATCTTTGTAAAGAAGGGCATTACCTCTGACATACTGTGTCATTCACTTACATTTTCTTCCAATTGGCATGGCAGTATAAAAGTTCAAAAATGGCAACATTTCAAATGTTTGCAAGTCTGACTACCTTTGGTTTTATGGCTTAGTTCTCAGAAAGTCTATTGCCTTTTTATCTTAAACAAGCTGCTTTGCCTAAAGAGAGAATCATTTTCTCATCCATTTTATGGGAGATGGAGACCATGTCTTTCCTAAAGTTGGAACTATGAGATCCAAAAGAAGTCTTCATATCAGAGTTCATGAGGGCAGACACAAGTCTTCTAACTTGCTCTTGAACTTGCACTAGGAGTTAGTCAACAGCAGTGGGAAAGTGAGAGATACACTTGTACATAACATTGGACTGGAGCTCTACTACAGTATCACTCAGTGTGACCCTCAGAAACAGCTGTTCCCCATCACTGGGGAACTTGTTGCAAATGTCACACCTCACTTTCCATGCTAGACCTTCTGCTGTAGGACTTCTAGGGTAGAAACCAAGCACATTAGGTTGAAAAAGTCCTCCATGTGATTCTCAGCACTATTTACTGTTGCAAACTCTAATTATCAACACTGAGGAGGTTGTTAGAAACAAACTGGACAAGATAAAAAATGCATGTAATTTTAGCACTTTGGTACATAGGCAGGAAGAGCCAGGGTTCAAAGTCATTCTGTGATAGAAAAATTTGAGGCCAGCCTGGGCTACATGGCACACTGTCTCAAGACCAAGTAAAAACAGGAAAAGAAAGCTGTTATAATTAACAAAGTATTTGAAGTAATTACTTAGTTTTCAAAGTCAAAATAAAGAAAGTAGATAATTTCTACTTCTAACACGGTAACAAAAGTTGGATTCCAGGTACATTTTAATTGTCTTATGGGACCCATATATATTGAAATTTATATAATAATATAATAATAAGAGAATATTATCAGAGTAATGATAAAATATTAACAAATTTCATGTCTCACTATGGGAAGACAAACTAATGTTGTCATTTTAAATTTATATATGAAACAAACCAAAGTAAGAACTTACTTCAACTCACCAAATTTGAATGTGGAAGCCAGTTAGAAAATTATTTTTAAGTAATTATGTCTATTTTTCTATAGAAGCTTTTACTGGAGGAACATATTTATTGACTTCTACCACAAAAATAAACTGTACAGCTAGACTAAGTCCATCCTGTCAATCATCTTGATAATGGAGTGGAAAAATCAGTGCTTAAATTGGAATCCCATTTTCATTACTCTGGAACTTTGACCAAGATAGGAAATCTTTCTATGTATGAGGTCATCATACATAAAATGAGGTTTGAGAGAATGTGTTGAGACACAGGTTTAGGTAGGTCCACACATTTTGACATACATCTATTGGAGGATCTATATTAAAATAATAGAGTATAGAATAGTTATATTAGTTAATATTATACCAGTATAGATATACTATCAGATTTACAGCATAAATTATTATAACATAGGTTATTAATGGAATGGGTTAGCCAGAACAGATGACTCACTATTTTTCCTTAGGTAAGACAGCATAGAATTTGAGTAAAGTATTTACAGAACTTTGGTTTGTTTTAGATAGAAGAAACTTGAGCTTACCTAAATGTTGATAGAAAAGATTTTGAGAATATAAATATTAATTATGAAAGGGAGATAGAGGTAATGTCTCATGTCTTTGCTTGATAAACTGGTGCAGATGGGAAGGAAGACAGAACATTGCTTACTAGTAATACCAGTAGTTTGTAAATTTGCTGTTAGCAATATGAAACTGATGGCTTACTGTGACTGATGATTTTTTACAATGAAAGTATATCGACAGATGGGGTGGTTTGGTCCCCACACACTCATGTGTTCGAACGCTTGGCCCAGAGGGAGTGGCACTTTTAGGAGGTGTGTGACCTTGTTGGCATAGGTGTGGCCTTGTTGGAGGAAGTGTGTCACTGTGGAGGTGGGCTTTGAAATCTCATATGCTCAAGCTACACCCAGTGTGGCACTCAGTCTTTCCTTCTGATGCCTATGAATCAAGATGCAGAACTCGCAGCTCCTTCTCCAGTACCATGTCTGCCATGCTTCATACCATGATGACAATGGACTAAACATCTTAAAATGTAAACCAGTCCCAATTATATATTTTCCTTTATAGGAGTTGCCACAGTCATAGCGTCTCTCCACAGCAACAGAAACCCAAACTAAGACAAAAGTAATAACGAAATTTAAGAATGGGGGCTGAAGAGATGACTCAGCAGTCAAGAGCACTTA